AGATCCTCATTCCAAATTTAGAACCCATCTTGGCCTGGATAATGGATGGATCGGAGGTAATACCAAAAAGGCTAAAGCCATCTACAACCGATCCGACCAGAGGGCTGAAAATAGCTCGAAATGACACGAAAACTGTCTCCAACCGAGAGCTAGGCCAAATGGCTTGTGGGCCCCACTGGGCCAAAAAAGGAGAAAATGGCCAACCGGCTAGCCCAACCCAGCTTGCCTCGGGCGGGGTCGGATTTTGAATGCAACGGCTACTAACTGACGTCAGCTAGTCGTTATATTTGAATTTTTTTTTTTACAATTTTTTTTTAAATTTAAAATTTCTATTTTTTTTCCTATAACTTCCTAAGCCATTAAACAACATTAAATAAAATTAAACAACATTAAACAATATTAAACAACATTAAGTAACATTAAACAATATAAAAACTATACAACATAAAAAAAAAACATTTAGCAACATGAAACTTAAACAACATTTTAAAAAACATTTAACAATATAAAACTTAAACGTCTACTCCATGCTTCTTTTGGCCAAAAGATGTGCAACAAGATCTTATCGTAGATACTTATTTGTGGCACGGAAACGTATTGTCCTATAGCCTCATGTACTTATTTAAAGAGATATTGCCAGTTATTGGATTCAAAGACAAATTAGGCCCATCATATATTTTTGCACAAAGCCCTTCTTGACCTATTTGGATCCTCTTGGTTGTCATCAGACTCTCCATCAATATATCCATTTCGCTCATCCTCTACAATCATGTTGTGTAATATGATGCAAGACATCATGATGGAGTCCAAATTTTCTCGACTCCACCCTCTTGCCGGTTCCTTGATGATATTCCATTGTGCTTGTAAAATACCTAAAGCTCTCTCAACATATTTCCGGTATGCCTCTTGGTGTAAGGTAAACCACTTTTCGACGTCATTCGCAGGGTTTGGAATTGCTTAGACAAGTGCCGCCCACTTTGGGTAGATGCCATATGCCAAGTAATACCCCATATTGTACTGACGGCTGTTGATGTAGTAGTCAAGTTGAGGTGATTTACCTTCCGTTAGGTTATTGAAGATGGGTGAACGCCCAAGAACTGTAATGTCATTTTGGGATCCAAGGACTTCAAAGAAAGCATGCTAGATCCATATGTCATACAAGGCAACCGCCTCTGACACAATAGTGGGCTTTCTCGACCTTCCGCTAAAGCCTCATTGCTATTGGGCGGGATAATTCTTTCACTGCCAATGCATGTAGTCTAATGACCCTATCATGCCCGGAAATCCACGGTATTCAGCTTTGCAAATGAGCCGATCCAGATCTTCTTGATCATTTGGCTCACAGAGGTATTCCTCTTTGTAAAGCTGAACAATTGTGTCACGGAATTCAGCAAGAGTATCAAGGCATGTAGACTCAGGCATACCATATGTATCATCAATTGAATCAGCTAGGGAGGCATAGGCTATCATTCGAAGTGCAATAGTAACCTTCTGATGAGGTGAGAAACCAAGGCGGTCTGCTCTGTCCAGCTTCTGTCGAAAGTATGGATTGACCTGATGGACATCATGAAGTAAACGCTCGAAGACATGACACCCTATCCGAAAGCAATGTCTGAAATCCTCTTTTGTGTACACCGAGTTGGGGTTGAAGTAGTTGTTCATCATATTGGCATGCGTCATCGCTTTGTTTCATGGTTTGTAAGAGCCACCAGCAATAGAGCCACCCTATTGAGGTTGTTTCTCAGTTGGCTGACACGCCATAACCGTAGCAATGGCTGCCACATATTGTGTGTTGCCTCATGCTTCATCTTCTTCATCAGACTCCTCATCTTCTCGTCTCATATGCGCCAATTTTTCTTCCAATTCGGAATTGGATGAGGACCCCCAGTTGGAATCTGAAGAGGATCTAAAGTTGGAATTCATTGCAAACTTGAATTGAAAGAGATTGAATTGAAAAAATTGAATTGAAAGAGATTGAATATGAAGGTGTGTGAATTATAGCCCAATATCCACCATATTTATGGACATTGGAAGTTGAAGATAAGAAGTGCCACGCAGATAAAAACCCTATCTAAAATCCCTACAACCAATTACATCTCGACACGTGGCACTAAAAAACCGAGGCGTAAAATTATTGAGATTCCTTATCGATAAGAAACCTGCAAAGTCACTTAGATATTGACATGTGGTACTTGAAATCCGAGACATAAAATTATTGAGATTCCTTATTGACAAGAAATATGCAAAGTCACTCAGATATCGACAAGTGGCACTCGAAATCTAAAACACAAAATTATTGAGATTCCTTATCGAGGTAGTCTAATTATTGAGGTAGTTTAATTTAAGTAACCATATTAATTCAATTAAAATAATAAATTATGTTTGGCCCCTCAGTTGGAGATGATTTTTTGTCACATGGCTATGTTTGGCCTATGGCCCTCTGGCCCCTCGGTTAGAGATGGTAAGACATATAGCTTGGCACTATTTATTAAAATATTAATTTCTTGAAGGGTTATAGGGGCAAAGAGAGCCTTCTAGCCCTCATTCGGTTGGAGATGGCCTAATAATAAACTTTATACTGGCCAAAAATAATAATCAGAATACAATTGCGATTTGCACTCCAAAATTATCATAAACTTCATGTAAAATGGTAAAAAACAAATTCAATCTTTTTTTCTAAACAGACGATATTATCCCCAATAAAAAAATAAGCATAACTTCCTAATAGGCTAACCAAGGAAGAAAATGCCGATAATATCGGCGATATTTCGCCGATATTATCGGTTTTTCACGGTAACGATATTTTAATAGGTATCCAATTGGTTTTCGTCTAAATATTGCGATATTATCGATAATATCGTGATATTTCCGAAACTATCGCGATATTTTCGATAATATCGTGAGATCAAAACCCAAAAATATTTAAAAAACGCTGAGAAGCCTCAACAGATAACTACACTTGATCTTAGCCAAAAGGGCCGAGCAAGGCATGCTTTCCTCAGCTTGGGAATGTGGCTTTTATAGGCATGTGTGCTTGCTCACTGCCCTTGCGTGGGTGATGTGGGATTACAGAAACCAAGCTTGGGAATGTGGCTTTTATAAGCCTGTTTGCTTGCTCACTGCCCTTGCGTGGGCGATGTGGGATTCACTGGCGGAGGGAGTAAAGGTCCTGGCTTTCTAAAACAAATATATATATTAGGGAATTATGCATCTTTCTATTGCTTGCTTTCTAAAACAAATATATATATATATATATATATATATATATATATATATATATATATATGGGAATTATGCATCTTTCTATTGCTTCAAGACCTGCTTTCCAAGTTTCAAGCATAAACCCATCTCCCAATTAGCTTTAATATTTTATCTAGCTATCTCCTTAACACAAATTAATAGCATTTAAAATCAAAGCAATATTTCGCCTTTCTTTTGAATAGAAAACATTCAATTTTAATTATGAAAATAAAAAAAAATTCCCCTTTTCTTTTTGAAATCTCATACATTTTATAATCCTAAATTCGAAATCTATTCAACAAATAAGTTTTAAATTTCTTTGTTTCTTTATCGTTTCTTCTCTATTCTACATATTACATGAGAGTTATGGTTCGTAAAGTTTTTATTTCTCTATTCTACATAATAGTATAGGCAGTGAGATTATAATAAAACGATTTTAAAATATAAAAACTCGTCAAGAACAATTATAATGTGTGTATGTAATATTATATGTGCATATGTTGTTTTGAATATTTGATTTTGAGATATATATTAGCCTTGTAAATACCATCCGCTTAAAAAAATTAAAAAAAAAAAAAACCTTTATGAGAGGCCCCTCCTCACCAAAAATTCTAGCTCTGCCAATGGTGGGATTACAGAAACCAAAACGTTTTGCTGCGACTTGCGAGGGCTGGTACATGTGAACTTGTGACTCCAACTAGGTAAGACTTAAGAGCCAGATCTAATTTGGGGCCTTCTATCTTATATTTGTGGACAACGATCAAATGCTAAAGATTAAACAAACATAATATGTTCTACTGCTTAGCAAAAAAAGCTACAAACCCTTTGCTTATCAACAAAAAAAGACAAGTCCTTGCACTAGATATACTTTCGAATTACGTTGAGTAGCAACCTGATATATGTATTCGGACGAATTATAAAACAATTAACACACTTCTGGCTTCCAAAATTCAATTATTTTACTTTATATAAACTTGAAAAAACATAATCGGCATCCAAATTAAAGTTTAGTCTTATTCAACGTATTGATTTTCAATCGTTAATTGATATACTATAATTTGGAACTTCAACGTCTAGACGCATGCTTATGTGTAAGAAATTTAAAGTGTCAAATTCGGCACATTATTCTTCATCATTTTATTCACTTCCTTTTTTTTTTTTAATATCCTAAATAAAACCTCCCAATATTGTACTAATTAATTATATATAAATGATTATGATGTGTTTAAACTTCTTTCATTAATTACTACATATTTTCTACACTCACAATGTTTGCCAGCTTCCTATATAATCAACTTAAATCAGTTAAATCCATCATGCAATTCATTTCCTTCCAATTTTTTGTGATAAACTAATAGATAATTGACTAAATAAACATCATGCAAAGTTTCATTAAAAATTTCCAAGTTTTTCTTACAATTTCCGTGGTTTCCATGTAATTTTTATCGATATCGATATTATCCCGATATTTCTATTGATATTTCCGTGTTTTCAGACTACCGATATTTCCGATATTACTGATATTTTCTTCGTTGAGGCTAACAACAAATTTAACTTAAACACATGCAACCAAAAACATTTTTCCATGTGACATTTATGAATTTTTTATTTGATTGAGAGAGATGATTTCTTGTGGTCAATAGGACATTCCCATCTGATGATAACATGGAGAGAGTGCCACGTGTCACCTTCCTCTAAGACTCCAACACACCTTCTCTCTCTCGGTCTCTCCCCCTAACCACCCAAATCCAAAGTCACTCATTCACTGAAACCCTTCTCTCTCTCTCTCACTCTCTCTCTCTCTCTCTTCCCCCATCAATCACTTCATTTACTTCAAAACCCTCTCTTTCTCTCTCTAGAAACCGACCAAAAGGACAAACTTGTAGGCACAACACAAGAAAGCGCTACATCCCAAAGGCCAAAGAGCCCTTTTGCTTCTCCCCCCATTTTCCACTCAACAAAAAACACACACAAATTCGGAAAGTTCGAGTCTTTTCGCAGAGAAACTCAAATTCCAGCGAACGAAATTGGATTTTTAGGGTGAAAGAAATTAAATAAAATTCGGAATCCATGGCGGAGATTCAACCGCAGCCGGTGCCTCAGATCAACGGCGGAGGACAGTTTTTGATGGGTTCGTCTGAGACGGTTGGATCGAAGCGACAGCGGAGGCCCAGCGTCCGGTTGGGCGACATCGGAGGAGACCAGCCGTACGATTCGCAGGTGCGCCGCGCCACCAAGCAGTGGAGGCTCCCGCCGGACCACCGCAAAGACGCCAATAAGTCCTCAAAGCCTCGACCTTTAACGAATTTAAGCTCCGTTGGGGAATTCCATGAAACCCTAGACGGCGAAGACAGAGAGGCCAATCTCGATAGTGTTGCCATTGGGAGCTGGAAGGTCAAGGACGCCAAGAAACGGGCTTCGAGCGTCACGAAACGGGTCAGATCCAATTGGGTATCTTCCAAGATCGATGAAGGTGGCGGCGAAGGGGACGAGAAATTCAGTGGAGCGGAGGACGTCGATGATGGGTATCATCGCGATTTTGATGTCGAAAACTCGGAAAGCCCGTTGAAAGAGCGGAGCCCAATTCACAGTTCGGAGAATTTGGGTGTGGATGGGCATGCCAATGGAAGGGAGCTGCTTTACCATGGAAGTAGAAGACCCATTAGGACCAGGATTTCGGAGGGTAGGGATAACCATGATGGTATTGAGCTATCCGGGCCGTCGGATAACGATGCCAGGGATTGGAATTGTAGAGGGACAAGTGGGGTTAGAATTGGGAATGAAGGAAGAGGAAGGTGTGGAGAAGATGGGGTTAGGGTTTGGCTCAATGGGTTAGGGTTAGGGCGGTATGCGCCGGTGTTCGAAATTCATGAGGTGGATGATGAGGTATTGCCCATGTTAACACTGGAGGACCTCAAGGATATGGGAGTAAATGCAGTTGGGTCCAGAAGGAAAATGTATTGTGCAATTCAGAAGCTGGGGAAGGGGTTTTCTTGACTCTTGCTTTTGTGACTGTTGGCAAACGAAACACCGAAAAATCGAAAAAAATCCTCAGCCATGGCAATGTAAGAGACATGCCTGCAAGTAAAACTGGTTTGAGCTTTTTGGTTATATTTTTTTTTCTCTCAAATCCAACTCAGTAGTATTTTGGATGAGTAGATTTTGGTTTTCATTGCCCTATTTACTTTATTTTTCATGCTTTTGATGCCCTGCAATTTTGGATCCTTGTACTTCATTTTGGTAGTAATGCTGAACTAGTTATAGTTATCCATTGATCAGAGAACTGTTGTTTTCTTAGTTGGTTCTAACCTTTAGGACAGAATGGGTAAAAGAAATGCCTAAAATTGGTTAAAGGAAGGATCAATTGGAGTTATTTCGTTTCTGCTCTTCTTATTTCCATCAAGCATGCAGAATAGTTTTGAGCTGATGGACAGTTCAATATATATAATGATTTCCCAGGTTCTGTGTTCTGTTGAATTTACGCTTCCTTATCTATTAGTTACTATGATGTTAATGTTGTATATAGAAAACTATTGTATCGAATTATAAGCCTTTTGGTAGGTTAATGAAATAGTGGCGTTAGGCAAGGAGTTGAATTTGGAAGTCAGTCTGACCTGTTTTGTCGTGGCTAGCAAAGGGAAAGCCTGAATGTTGAGATTATGATGTACAGAGTTGCATAGTTATCTTTGGACGTTTAACAGTAGATTGGATGTCAGTGGAGGGAATGTTCTCCCGATACATCCTTCTTGTAGAACCAGGAGTGGGATATAGAGTCCAAGAGGTCATGCATTGTTGTTAGAATATCCTTGGTTGATGAGGGTTTTAGGGTTAATGCTAAGTTGTTCAGAAGGAAAGGTTGCATTGACCAGTCACAGTAGGGTACATGAATTTGCATACTAACGGGTTGGAGTATGGCAGGGTATTATTTGTGCGTCTCATTCCAATGTAACGGGGATAAATTGACTTGTGAGAGATAGATGTCTAGTATTAGGAATCATGCTTTGAGACCGAATCATCAAAGAGCCGACGATTTGCCTTCTTGTTATACATGTAAAACTAAGTAGCTTTCACTGCATCTTGATTATAATTTTCCATATTTATCTTGTCAAAGTGGTAGGGCTGATACTGACCTCATCTAATTAGACTTGTTGATCTTAAACAAAAACATAAGGTTGAGGTTGCAAATAATGCTGCTGTTTTAGAGTGTTCCAGGATTATAACTTGCACTAGTTGGCTGTAGTTTCTCAGCAATTTTCAGGAAGCATGCCTCTGTTCCATCAACAGGATGCAAATTCGAGTTTTATTGACTAATCTGTACTTACGTTGTTATTCTGGCGTTCCCCAATGTACGTGTGCAAAAATCTGCGAAGTTTCATAACATATGTTGACTTAAGAAGAGTTCAGGGTCGTATTCAGCTGAAGTGTACTATAAGTTTGTGTAAAGGCTTTGCTTGTGTAATTGTATTGCATTTTTTCAGAGTTTGGCAGTTCGATCTAGTGAGACCGAGGCATTTCATTAGAACAGAACCTGCTGATGATCCGAGGTTCGGATCAGGACGGAATTGAATTGCCCTGTAAATCACTGTCCTCCAAGAAGATTGGCTTGGAAACTTCTCTCAAAGAGTAACTTGTAGCGATGGTTCCTCAATTTTAATCAAACTAGAGCAATGGTCTCTCAACTAAAAATATATTACAATTGGTCTTTCAACTCATCAAAACGTGTAATTATGATCATTTTCCTCAACTCCATCAAAATTCTATCAAAATGAGTTATGTTACAAGGATCATTGCTACAATTGGGTTAAATTTGAGGGATCATTGCTTCAATTGAGTTAAAGTTTAGGGATTATTTCTCGAGTTGAATTAAAGTTGAGGGACATTGATACAATTTTTTTTATTTGGAAGAAATACCAAAGAGCGACCGTTTTCGTTACCTAGGATCTATCTTGCAAAAGAACGGAAAATTAGATGGAGATCTCAACCATAGAATACAAGCTGGATGGATGAAGTGGAAGAGTGCATCCGGCGTGTTGTGTGACCGCCGTATGCCACTGAAGCTCAAGGGAAAATTTTATAGGACGTCAATAAGGCCGGCGATGCTGTATGGCACAGAATGTTGGGCGGTGAAGCATCAACACGTACACAAAATGGGTGTAGCGGAGATGAGGATGCTTCGTTGGATGTGTGGGCACACGAGAAAGGATAAGATTAGGAATGAGGATATCCGGGGTAAAGTAGGAGTAGCCGAAATTGAAGGAAAGATGAGAGAAAATCGGTTACGGTGGTTTGGACATGTGCAAAGAAGGCCTACTGACGTTCCGATTAGAAGATGCGACTATGGGACAGAGGTTCAGGGCCGAAGGGGCAGAGGAAGACCTAGGAAAACTTTGGAAGAGACCCTAAGAAAAGACTTAGAGTACTTGGATCTAACGGAGGACATGACACAGGACAGAACACAATGGCGTTCTAAGATTCATATAGCCGATCCCACTCAGTGACTTGGATTTTCCAAGTCTCCAACCGAGAAGTTTTCCTCACTCGGGAAATTTAAGGGAACACTACCTCAACCTATATGCTCCACTCACAAAGCTTCAACATACAAGCTTCAACAAAAGAAAATTCAAAGAACTTAGCGAAGAAGGCTTTGGTGTATTTAACACAATACGTTGAAATGAAGGAAAGCTTATTTATTGATATCCCCGATAAGTTACAAATATGTACATATACTTGAGTCAAAATATAAACAAACAAGAGGGAGCCTTCACAAAGGTTGCTTAGGAGAAGTCTCAGCAGTCGGTAGAGCCCCAGAAAGAGAAGGCACCGGAGGGGGATCATTCGGAGCCTCAGTACTGGACAAAACCCTAGAAGGAGGAGGCATCAGAGGATTGATCATTTGGAGCTTCATTACGCGGTACAGCCCCAGAAGACGAAGGCAATAAATGCCTTTGGAACAAACCCACAAATCTCTGATGATCAAGTAAAACCTGACCATCAGATTCCTTCATCTGGTCAAGCTTCCTCTTCATGTTTGTAGCATAGTCATGTGCGAGCCGGTGCAACTGTTTATTTCTCATGCTTGAGCCCTCTAATCTCCTGTTTGAGACTCATCACTTCAGCCGCCAATGATTCAACTTGGCGGGTTCGAGCAAATAGGCGTTGGGCCATATTAGACACAAAAACCTGCACACTGAACACTAAGAGCCAGAGAATCCTTAACAGACAACTCATCAGACCGTTTGGAAAGTAGTCTGTTATCTTTGGGAGTGAGAAGGTTCCTGGCCACTACCGCAGCGGTCATATCATTCTTCATCACGGAATCCCCAACGGTAAGAGGACCAGTAGGGGAGACGAAGGATGGGCGCCATATGTTGTCTGGAGAAGGCGGGGCTGCCTCTTCAACAAGGTTCAAGTCAAAACGACGGTCGGAGGGGCCAGACATTTTCAAAGGTGTTGAAGAGAGAAGAGGTCGGACAAATCAAGATCTTAGAAGTGCAAGAATGGAGCTTCTACTGGTGGATATTCAAGTGTGCTTTGGAACTTAATGTCAGCCCCTATAAAAATCTGCACTCGACGAAGCTTCAGAAATCGAAGAGGCGCCTGCTCAGAAATCGAAGAGGCGTTTGCTTTCTCAAAAGCTGGGCTGCTCAGAGACCACGAGGGTCGATCTCAGAAATCGAAGAGGTGTTTGCTTTCTCAAAAGCTGGGCTGCTCAAAGACCACAAAGGCCGATCTCAGAAATCGAAGAGGCTTGCTTTCTCAAAAGCTGGGCTGATCAGAGACCACGAGGGCCGATTTCAGAAATCGAAGAGGCACCTACTTTTCCAGCCTTGTCAGCACCTGTCACACGCACACTCAGCTTTGCGGAAATTATGGGCATTCTGTCGAAGATTTCTGGCGAAGTAGAAAGCACATGAATCGTACTGTTCAATCACCCACTTCCCACACGCAACAGTAGCTCATGGGTACCACAGATAACTTTGCCAAAGTTCTCTGACAAAGTTGAGACACGTGAAGCTTGCAGCTCCCACTACATCGCTCTGACCAAGAAGGGTAAAAGAATTGCAAAGAAACAACACTAACAAAGTTTAGACACATAAATTTTGAAGGTCTAGCTACCATATTATTACCCACAAGGGTAAAGGAACAGTACCACTGCTGGATAATTGGAAAGTCCCGGTGTGTCAACCTCTGTGCTTCGTGGCAAGGTAGACTAGCAAACATGCCCAACCTTTACTCACATTCGAGAAAACACTCCTAACAAGATTGCTTGCTCTCCAAAATCGAAGAGGCACCGCCCTCCGAATCTCGAGAGCCAGACTCCCAACATGATTACTTTCTCAAAAATCGAAGAGAGGGTAAAGGAACAGTACCACTGCTGGATAATTGGAAAGTCCCGGTGTGTCAACCTTTGTGCTTCGTGGCAAGGTAGACTAGCAAACATGCCCAACCTTTACTCACATTCGAGAAAAAACTCCCAACAAGATTGCTTGCTCCAAAATCGAAGAGGCACCGCCCTCCGAATCTCGAGAGCCAGCCAACATGATTACTTTCTTCTCAAAATCGAAGAGAGGGTAAAGGAACAGTACCACTGCTGGATAATTGGAAAGTCCCTGTGTGTCAACCTCTGTGCTTCGTGGCAAGGTAGACTAGCAAACATGCCCAACCTTTACTCACATTCGAGAAAACACTCCCAACAAGATTGCTTGCTCCAAAATCGAAGAGGCACGGCCCTCCGAATCTCGAGAGCCAGACTCCCAACATGATTACTTTCTCAAAAATCGAAGAGACACCGCTCTCCGAATCTCGAGAGCCAGACCCCCAGCAGGATTGCTTTCTCAAAATCGAAGAGGCATCGTTCTCCGAACCTCGAGAGCCAGACCCCCGACAGGTCTGTAATTTTCACACGCAACAGCAACTTTCCAGATACCACAAACCACTTTTTCAAAGTGCTCTGACAAAGTTAAAACATGTGAAGCTGGCAGCTCCCACTACCGTGCTATAACCAAGCAGGGTAAAGGAATAGCATTATTACTTGATGTTAGGGAGACTCCTATATATGTCGACTTCCATCCCTAACAGACAGGCAGACCTGCAAAAATGCTCAACCCTTTCTCTTATCTGAGAGGGCACTCCCAACAAAGCCTTTCGAAATATTCAGCTTTCTTTCCCCCCGATAATACCTCTGTAAACAAGCTATACTAGAGCAAGAATATCTCATATCATCAGGGTTAAAAGCAAGAGTATCCCATATCATGATTTTTCCCTGTCTTTTCCTTTGGCCTTGTTCATACCTGCAAGACAAGGAGAAAGAGAGCAATCAGTCAGCACTTGGAATCAAGCTTCCAGCCAGGAACTGACTGCCTGGAACCCCTTACCTGATTACTTACCTGGCATTGCTCTCGAGTACTCATCTTCAACATCTTATGCTTCCAGGGAAGATACCGCATCTGCCTGAGGAACAGATAGGGCAAGTGAGAAGGATACAAGGAAGCATGTGGAGACAAGCGTAACAGCACACGTGCCGATACATCCACTACTCTATCAAAAGCAAAAGTATCCCATATCAGCAGGGTCGAACGTACTCTAGATTTGATGGACTTGTTTTGACCCTCAAATTCTTCAGTCGGCCTTATACTCTGGAGGAAACCAGAAAACCCTCCAGCCCAGTTCAAGAATAAGCCTGTGGAAAGTTACTTCTTCAAAAGCAAAAGTATCCCATATCATCTCTCCTCATTTTTCTTCTCTTTATCCTTCATGCTGCCTGCAAGATAGAGAGAATGTGAACAATCAGCCGGAGCTCTGATTGCTTACCTTGTCTGTCACCTCTTTCAGCAGATCCCCCAGCTCGGCGACTTGGGGGACTCCTACTACATGGTTTGTATCTCGCTTGACCAAGCATGAAACTACAAGTAAGCTTCAAGTGAAATTGATACATTACCTTGTGCATCTCCACCAGTTACAGATACCACCCCTGGATGGAGGAAGAGTACTTCTAGAGAAGATGTCACATCTACCTATGAGACAGATAAAGGCAAGTCAAGACGATACCACACTCCGGTACTTAGAAGTTTCGTGGCTACGAGATCATTCTCCCACAATATTTCCTAATGTCATTTGTACTAAATCATTCACTTGTACTCACTAAAGGAGAGCTTGAATCTATGTACTTGTGTAAACCCTTCACAATTAATGAGAACTCCTCTATTCCGTGGACGTAGCCAATCTGGGTGAATCACGTATATCTTGTGTTTGCTTTCCTATCTATATCCATTTATATACTTATCCACACTAATGACCGGAGCAATCTAGCGAAGATCACAAAAAGTGATCGTTTTCGCTACCTAGGATCTATCTTGCAAGAGAACGGAGAATTAGATGGAGATCTCAACCATAGAATACAAGCTGGATGGATGAAGTGTAAGAGTGCATCCGGCGTGTTGTGTGACCGTCGTAGGCCACTAAAGCTCAAGGGAAAAT